TGTAGGACACCACAATAATATTTTGACAACGATACGCTCGCTTTCTATCACGTTGGATGTTAATATGTTCGGTACAATCTAGGCGTATCGAGTGCATCGTATAGTCGTGAGAATATTAATTAATTTGTTTTTAATTAACCTTTAAAAATGTATAGTTACATTAGCATAATGATTTTACTGACAAAGTATAAATTATGTTTTTACAGGAAAAACTTTTTTCTTCATTTAAACGAACATTATTCTTACATGTTGTGTGATATGTGTATTGTTTCTTGAATGCGTAATAGAGATTTAGGAGCTTTAACATTGTACGTATACGCTCAAACACACAATATCTCCGTTATTAGATCAAAGAACACACAGATAAATGTTTTATTACGTAACTTACTTCAGTTTATTTTACGGTCGGATAGGTGTTACTTAATGGATTTTTCACTGTGGATATTACGTGCGGTTTTATTATGATTCCCCAGTAATGTTTCTACTTTTCAATGTTATTGGAACACATTCGGTCTTTTAGGACGGAAATACGACCGGGAAATGTCATGACGAGCGAGATTATTGAAATGCATCATAAATAATCTATGCAGTGCTGCAACGCTCACCTCTACAATTTAATATAGGGAAAATTTGACATATTCTCACGTTACTAGTAGGCACAAAATGAAACGATTTATGTGAATATCTCATGTCTGTAAAGAATTTTATATGAAATTTCTTCGGGAAGCATAGAGAGATGGAAGCCCTCACCTCATACGTGGCAATATGAATAAAATATGGATTCATCAGTTGAATAAACGAACATTTCGTGCTTGAATAACCTTATATTCACATAGGGTGTATAATGATCACTTGGGCATATTTGACAGGGTTGTCAGGTGAGTAAGGCTTTGATTTGTTTAATGCTTGTATTAGAAAAACAAAAATCAACGTTACGGCATAATACATTGTTACTTCCATAACATAATATATTCAAACTGAATTTGTTTACATTATTTTATAGTACAATTAATATATATTCGTATTAATTCATATTCTGGTTTACATTCGTTGTAATAACAACGAGGATGCTAACTAAAATCCGAATTAATTATAAATAGAAAATAAAAAGGATATTCCCAAAATTATATTTAAATAGGAGATGATGGGTTCCACACGTTAAAATAACAACAAGCAATTATTACAATAATAATTATGTAAGTAGAAAATCTTAATTATATAAAATAAATAATTATATAAAATAAATAGTAATACAAATATTATTATTTTCAAAGACAATGAAAATTCGGATCGAAATCCTACTTATATATCTAATAATTATTTAAGTAAGGTGGTAATGTCGATATCGTTTTATTTATAAAGAGGGACTATTAAATATCCCACTACCCAGCAGTGGGATATTTAATACATTTTTAAAGCATAATAAAACTAGCGGTCCACTGCGGTTTTGTACAGGTGGTTAGTTAGATTGTTTTACAATAAGTACAATCCGTGTTACTTGTTGATAATATTGCTTTTTATTGGTGGAAGAATTTTTAAAATCGCTTAAGTAGTTTTGAGTTTATCCATTACAAACAGATCAAATATTTCTTCTTTACAATATTAGTTTAGGAAATCTTATAACCCTAACTTTGAATATACCTATTTATACATCCATAATAGATCTGTTTTCACTGAGTCTAAGCTGCAGCACGGTTGCTGTTAGTTGTGAGTCACGCCAAATATTCAGCGGTCTAAGTAGAAACTTGGTGAATCATAAGCTTGACTGGTTGAAGGAATGTTTGCTAAGATTCGATTCCTTATGCAGTAAACCAATGCGAGATATGTATGTGGATTAAATACAAGGATAATGCATATACATGAAAATGTTTTATACTCATGGTATGATATCTATTTCTTCCAATTAACGTTTGTTTTTAATATCTTTACTTATTAAATAATGCAAAGATAATTTAATAAATGTAATATTTCTCCGTAAATACTACATATGTTAACTGTCGTCATACTTACTCTTTTTTTAAATTATTATTTATTATTAATCTTTAAATATACTTCTCTTGTTAATAAGTAACAAACTTATTAAGATCCTATTTTTTATGAATTGTATATTTATTATTATTAATAACCTAAATATATACAAAAATATCATAAGTTGAATTAACCGCAAAAAATATAATTAATTAAGTACCTACCTGATATGAAATTAATTTTACATAATATTATACCTAATAAAATAGTATAGTGTTATTATTTTTTGTGTTATAAATTTACAAATAAAAAAAAACTTATTCTAAACTACGAAATAATATTATAAAATTTGGAAAAAATATTTAGACAATGATAGTACTGGACGAAATAAAATGGAGCTGTATCTCAAAGACCCAGGCCACAAAACTTCTATTCATTTAGTATAGTAGTATTTTAGGGGATGGTGGTAGCTATATAGGGCATCCGGAGGTTATAAATTATAAAAGCATTGTTGGAAGGCCGCACGGTACCGCTGTAAAACAGGCGGCAAGTCCACTCAAACAGAACTAATGAGCATTGTCTTATTTCACCACAATAGCTCAATTTCCTTAAGACTTAACCGACGCATTCATAAATTAAAATTTAATATCTCATTACTTGCAAGCTGCACTCCGCCCCCGGGATCATGCCAAAAAAACAAACCAATTTAAAACAGTCGACGGTTAAAAACGATAAAATACAGAATGATGCAAGTAAACGTTACCACAGAGTATCTAACAGCGCGACGTTACATTATTTTTCGTAATTCCTTCATGAATTGACTCGATTGTGTGATATTTCAGGCGGAATTTAATTTGTAGAAGAACGTTTGAGAATATATTACTAATTTGCGACAGAAAATGAGTAATTTCTATAAGGGAGTCGTTTTATTAAGTACTTGCGCCAGGGTCAAATGAGATAATGAAATACACGTAATTCGTGGAAGTTATAAGTTTATATAGAAATTGAGGTAAATAAAAATATTTATATGTACATAGGAGTAAAAGGCAGAGATACGCTGTATAGTCTCTTTTTCTTTCTGACATATTTTCATATCAACAAATTCATAGAATTGTAAGTACCTACCTCAATTCTCTATTTACGCTTGCAATGTCATCTATGCTTATGCGGCTTAGAATGGCAAACAAGTTGACAGCCCATTTGATGGAAGGTGGTAACTGTCACCTATAGACATCAACAGTACCATGGACATAACTGTATACTGTGTAGCCCATTTGACCCCTCATGCGTTGCTATTCCTGAGGGCTAAGATGTTATGCTTATGTACTCTGTAATTTCACTGCCATATCCCTTTTGCTTGCTAAAGTAGTTGTGTTTGCATATCACAGCTATGCAAACACAACTACTTTACGACAGTATCATGAATGAGACAGAGGTACTCACTTTTGAGTACGACTTTTGTTAAAAGTATTTTTTATACAACTTGAAAGAGCATACAAATAGGTGTACTTTGTTAATATCAGATTAGATATATCAATACTGTTTTTTTTTGTATGTATGATCATTATCTACCTATCAATAAAGTATGCAATAAAGTATATATATTTGTAAAACAAAGTGTTAAATAATAGCATCATGGGTTTTACAAAATAAATTGATATATATTTTATATAAAAATATATACCTATTGATTTTATTTTTAGAGAGTATTTGAAAATCTTTGTTCTAGTAGCCGAAAGAAATATCCCAGCGGACTGCTTAACTTGACGTTGGGCACAAAACACAACTTCATACCAACACCCTAAGATTGATAAAAGAAATTACCCACTATCCTCCGCTGTTCTATAAGAATATAAAATAATATATTGTTCCCCCTTTTATATTTGAAATGTTTCTGTTATTATTTTTTCTTATAAATGTATACTAATATAATATAAATATATACTTTAAGCATATGGAATCTTACTAATATAATACAAATGACAATGTCTAAAAATGGTATATTTAAAAAAAAAATTACATGATGAGTTTTAAATAGAGCAATCAAAGTCAAACTAATAGTTTTTAAAAACTGTTTGTCTGTTTGTGTATATCTGTTCTGGCATTATGTAAAAATTGCTGCATCAAATAGGATGCTAATTTCTAACTTAAAAACTGGTATATATTTTATCTTGATATTTCATTGGTTTTCTTACTGCTGAAATTTACGCATACGAATTACCGGGCAAAAGCTAGTATTTTATGAAAACATACTAATGGTGTCATATATATATATATATATATATATATATATATATATATATATATATATATATATATATATATATATATATATATATATATTATACAACTTAGAATGGCAAACAAGCTGATGGCCCACCTGATGGAAAGTGGTAACCGTCGCCTATAGACATGAGCAGTACCATGGACATAACAGAGTATACTATTTCGCCCATGATACCCCCCATGCTTTGTCATTCCTGAGGACTCAGGTGTTATTCCTCTGTACCCAGTAAATTCACGCCATACCCCACCCTTCAAACCGAAACACAGCCATGCAAACACAACTGCTTCACGGTTGAAACATGAATGGGACAGAGGTACCCAAGCAATCGACTTTTGTACAAAGTCTCCCTCTGGTATATAAGAACTACGTTGTACTAGGTATTAAGTTTCGTATTACATTATTTACGGTTTGTAAGAGATGGAGAAACAATTAGATTATTTAGATAAAATATGACAATTTTACAAGGTTATGTTGACTTTTCGACTAGGTTACACCGGATTCTTCTTCTTCCAATATAAACATTAGAAGACAGAATTGAAGACATTAGTTATGAATTTCATTAGTTTTAAATTATAAGTAATGACGTGTGTGTTTGTATGTGTATGTGTGTGTGACATTATTTACGAGAAAAGTTTGTAATTATATATGTCAATGTATAATTATAGACTAACAAAAAACCCCTAGGGGGAGGCTTATGTTCAGTAGTGCACAGTTAAAAGCTGATATGATGATGATGTACACTTACTGGAATCTCTAACCCAGTAGTTAATGGACTTGGGTGATGACTCGACATAGCACTCGAGGGTGACATCAGTGCCCAGCGGCGCACCCACCAGCTGATTTGGTACTTGGATCACTGGATGGACTGTACAAAAAATAATACTTCTATAAAGCTATTTATTGAAAAATAAATGTAATATATTATTTATTCAAATTAAATTGATGAGTTATAAACATTCATCATAACAAATTATTTTATATTTATTCGTTAAGCAAGTTTCAAAGGTAATTGGAGCTTTTCCTGTAATAACATTTTCATTTCAATTTCTTATAACAGATCAATTTCAAAACAAAGATCATTACGATATACGTTAGATATTATCTTCATAATAGCCTCTTTCGTTTATTATATTGTATGTTATTTTCTCTTAATATAAAATGAATTTAATATCGAGTTCATTCATGTATTAAATAAGTAAAATATCAATATTACAGTGATGTCTTGCACAAAACCGGGTCACTTCGTCTGAGTTGACGTGAAGACACAAACAGTCCGTAACAGCCTGAAAATAATTAAAAGCTACTCTCGACGACATTAAATAACACCATTAATAACAAGAAACCTCTGAAAGTTACCAAGATAAACAACAATTACCAAGAATTTGCCGCGGCCCTATTTCGTCTTGCGAATAAGTTTGGAAAAAGATTTTGAAAGGAAAACATCTTCCACTATTTCACTTCATCAGGTTTCGTATAGTCCACAAAACAAGCTGTATACATAATGTTATGAATACAGATAAATTGATTGTTGTAAAATTATACGTACAGTGTACTTTGATTTGTATCCTCTTGCTTACTGATGGTGGGATTCCATTGCTCGCTATGCACAAATAAGCACCCATGTCCGAACGGGAGATTTTTGTGAGTGTCAGAACTTCTTCGTCATATGTTGCCACTATAAAATATAATAATTATTATGCTATAATATAAAAAAAACAAAGCATAGAGATATCTGTATTAAAATCATAATTTTAATTACATTTTTATGGCTATTGGAATGATAAATAAGCTAACCGTTCACCTGTTGGAATGTAATATAATAAAACGAGCAGTATAGAGTGGTTAGCCAATTACTTAATATTAGAAACATTTACAATTATTATAAATAGTGGATGATGCTCTTTGAATAAAATATGGAACAAAACATTATACATAACATAAGATAGTTTGTGTCCCAATAATGCGTACGAATTATGCACATGGCTGTGTTTCGCTTTGAAGAGACATATAGCGTAATTATAGGGCTGCGAATTATTATAACGCCTTAATCTTTATGCATAGCATCATAATACCATCATACCATGGTATGACAGATATCATGGGAAGTATAATGTAGTCTGTAATATCTATAGTGTTGTTCATGTTTACAGGCGAAGTTTCCTTTGTTCTAATAAGGTTATCTTTTTTGGGAATAGTAAAATTATGATTAAGAAAACGATAAAACATAGGTTATTTTCCCCATAGAGTGCAAATAGGGTACTAACATTTATAATTACCTCTAGTTTTACTGCCTTGAGCATCTCTAATAACTATCTCGGCACCATCTTCTCTTCTCCAGATTATATTTGGCTTGGGCATACCACGAGCGCGGCAGGAAACTTTTGCGGTCCCTCCTTCAGGTACCATAATGTCACCAGAAGTTTCTTCGGCTATAAAATCTGGTGGTACCACGACTTGCAGGTGAGCCATCTGTTTATATAAATTTATTCAAATATTTTGATAGGAAGTAGAAAATTAAATAAAACATTAATTATATACAGACATTACATAGAGAGAATCAAGATAATGTATGGATAGAGCCCTTGTATGCACTTGTTTCTGTATAACTCTATCTAAAGGAACATATGTAAAAATAGGTAATGAAAATCACAAATACTAAATGACATTCAGGTAACTACGAAATTTAACAAAACAGCGCATAATAATGTATAAGAATCAAAGATAAACCAATAATGTAATTCAAAATGTTTTCTATAATTAATTCATAAATACTAATGGGCTTTAAAAAAATTATTTCAAAATAAAATAAATAAGTGCCACTGAATATATTACACAGCGCTGCCTAATCTCAAACAAAGCAAAGCTATTATGTACTGCTGATACCAGAAAACTAAAAGAAATAATTATATATATATATATATATATATATATATATATATAAGTATTTATTTGCTTTGCTTATATATAAGCTAAAGTGTTTGTATATTTCAAGGGTATTGAAACAAATTTCATTTGTTCTTTTAAATATTTATAATATAATATGACTTGTAATTGTTGCTATTTAACAATAAGTTATTTTAATAACATATTTATTAATTAAAAAAAGAAATATTATTTAAATAATAATTTTGGAATAAAAAAATTGTAATGAAATTACTTTGATATTTTTAAAGAAAAAGATTTTATTTAGTGTCAAGGATTATAAAAAAATACTCAGTAGAGTGTAGTCATGCTCCGTTGACGTAGACGTCAAAGCCTAGGGCTGTCACCGCTGGCGATTTATGTCGTTATCAGGCGAGCGTATAAATTACACAGCCGCGCAATAATTTAGGAGCACCATGCACGAATCATTACCCGCTGCGTTTCTCCCTACATGCAGTTTAATTCACTTTATCTCCCCTATGTTTACTATAATCGCAATTTAATTTTATTACTGACAACAAATTATGGACTGCCCATCGAGCTTAATAGAAAACCTATTTTTACGAATATATATACCTATAATAAATTATCTGGATGGCTATGGTTGATTTGATGTGACATAATAAAACTTCTATTTAAATGATGGACTAAAACACTTGATACTTTTCGTTCTAGAAACCAACTGGTTAAGGAAAGGATAATATGGATGGGAAAATTTATACAGATATCAAATGTCGGTGGAAGACTTACAGTAACTATAGACTTATTCTCTGGGCATGGATGATGAATGAAATATCTATTATGGCTTCGGTTATAGAAATATCACATAATAATTTTTATATCCACACGGCTATACATATTTTAGCTGTAATATTTATTGGAATACCGTTGGTGTATTCAGAAATATGCATCGCACAGTATACAAACTGTGACGTGATTTCAATGTGGAACTTTTTTCCGTTATTTCGCAATGTTGGATATGGAGCAGTTTTCTTAGTAATTCTTAAAACAGTATATTTAACTGTCTTATCATCTTGGTACTTGCAATATTCATTTTATGCAGCCATAGATCCACCACCATGGTTCACATGTGATGACTACAACGACACAAAATGCATGGTTAAACGAATTAATGTCTCGATTTTTCAGCACTGTTTAGAGACACAAATTCTTTTCGATGATGATTGTGGCATGAAAACTGCTAGTAACTGCTTTTTTGAGAGAATGATCGGTGATAACAATACAATGATGTCTAAGTGGTGTGTTTATCAATGGAAATCTGTACTAGCAAGTTTTTGCATAATGACACTTTTATTTATATTGTCAATGAAGAAAGAAAAGTTCATTCTAATTATTGTTAAAATTTTAGCATTTTATTTATGTCTAGTAATAATATTGTTATTATGTGTAGCTTTGTCCACTAGTGGAGCGTGGCATACAAAAAAGATTGCATTAGACTGGAATAATTATAACTTTAAAACATGCTATACATCTATTACAAGAGGTTTTTTATCTGTTGGAACGGGATATGGTATAATAGGATTTCTATCCAGAGATGCCTCATTCAGAAGTCCTTCTATGATGACTTCTATTTCAGTGCCATTATATTCGGTATTTGTAACCACAATGTATGCGCTAGTTGCTTTTAATGGGATCAAAACTATGTCGTACTATCATGGAGAAGAGGAAAATGTGATTGAAATGGGTACATCTTCATTTTTTTTAAACTTTGCCTCTATATCGGAAATTTTAAGTTATTTTGATGCGATGCCAATTTGGGGATTTATTTGGTTTTCATCAGGATTTGTCTGTTTATTTGTAAATTTATGGATATTATATATATTTTTGTTGGATTCATTATTTGAATGTTTATATTTTATGCGAAAGTATCCTAATTTATGTTGTATGTTGTTGTCTTTGTTCATATTCTTTTTTTCATGGCCGTTTTTCTGCTCAGATTTGACCGGTAGTCTTACAGATACCACTGAACTACTTCAAATTGTAAGTAGTTTATTATTTTCTTTATCATTATATTGGATTTATGGATACAGGAATCATAATATCGATATTATCTTTATGATTGGAATTAAAGCTAGCTATTTCTGGAAGATTGCGTGGGTAATAAACCCCTTATTACTGTTATCTATTTTATACGCAAAATCATTTAATTTACAGGTTACAGAATATAGTGATTCATTTTACATCAATTATTTATCAATACATTGTGATGTTTTATTATTTTACGTAATTTTAGGAACTTATTTTTCAGTTTTTATTATTGGATTATTAATAGAATTATTTTTGTATTATAGATATAACAAATTACGAAATATATTGTTTCCAACAGAAAACTGGGGTCCCAAAGAGGCAATATTGTTTAAAAGTAGAAAATTATTTGTTCCCGAAATAATGACGACGGAATTCTTATACAGACAAATTAGGATACACGGCTATTGTAAAAAACAAAGTGAACAAATTAAAGAAAACAATACACAACAAAATACAAACAGGCAGGCATCTACACAGTTGTCAATAGATGAATCAGAATGGAGTGCTTTTATGTCAAATTAAGGAACCTAAATTTACGTACTTGGCTTTTCATCGGGTCTGTATTGATCTGGCACATATACTGGCCTTGGTCTTCCTCTTGAACGTTCCTTATATGCAGGTTCCAAATAGATTGGCCGTTATGCGATACTCCAACACGATGATTATTAGTTATAACGTGAACATGAATTGCCTGTATAGCTTTAGTATCTGCTTTCACCCACCCTACCTGAAAGTAATGTTAGTTTTAATTTTATAGTAATTATAATATTGATATGACAATATTGTTTTATTTTGATTTACCCTATACCCTCCAAGATTGTAGACTAGACATTTGAATGTAGCGTCACGACCTATTGGTACTGTGAGATTTGTCAATGGCTCCGCAAACTCCGGTTGAAAAGCTTGACCTAAAAGAGATATATTTTATTATTTACGAGTGTTATTATTTTCTGTTTCTAATATTTTAAAAATACGTACCGACAAGCTTTGAGTCTAGTCCCAACATAAATATTGCTAGCAAGTATAAGGACCACCAACGCTGCTGCATATTTCCAGTCACGCCGGCTTATTTCAGCCCCAAAAGCCTGGGTTGTCCATTAGTCTGTTGGGGCAATGAAACATAAAGACAGGTTAAAACTCTAATACACATCAAGCATATAATTTATGGAATTAATCGTCTTATAAAATATTTTTAACTTTATCCTCTAAATCTAGTGTTGGCATATCTGAAAATATTTTACTTCTTCAGTACATATTTATAACTAAATTAAAATACCTAAAGCAATTTTAGTGACTATCTTATACATCAATAGCTTATATTCCAGTAATTAAAAAAAGAAACCTATATGAAACAAGCAAATGCTTGTAGATAGCGTAGGAGCTAGTTAAAAAAAATATTCCTGGAAGTGACTGTGTGTTAGGTACTTTAATTTTGTTAAATATACTAAGACCCAAATAAATATTGAAGATTTTCTTATCTAGGTTAAGTAAGTACTAGAGTTACTAATATTATTTTATTAAATTACAAAATGAATAGATTTTAATTTTATTTTTTAACCTTGTTTTGCCGCGTATTATTACCTACTGATTGCACCTTATCTCTCGAGTTTTGCAAACAAAACATATTTAGAAAATTTCATTAAAATAGGTTAAGCGGTTTCAGTTTCGGTTGAATGAATATGAAACACTAGAAGAATATGATACTAGAATATTCTTGTAATACTGTTCTTATTAAATTATTATTTATAATCAAGTATATGTACTACAATTACTTAGATGAGGTACGTAAGTAATGTCATGATATAAAGGAAAGCTATTTCGGTCCCTTCCGCGCATCATTTTTTGCGATTTCATCAGTCAATAATGATTTGACGTCTATATATCTGTATGTCGTTATATCACATAACGTTGTCACACTCTTTGAAAACGAGTATGGACGCGATCGCGTACCGGTAACTACTTTTCCGCAAAAGTGTGATAATGCTTGAGAAAAATTCGAGGCACATCGACTTGGCTATTTCGATACAGCGGCCAACATATTGGAATTTTCTATCATTTTTAGACACCATGTTGTTGTTCAGATGGGTATGTTGTATTTTAGAATTAGTTCTCTTGGGGTTTCCTGAATTAGAATGGCGTCCGAAACGGCTATTGTGGGTTTTTTAACGGCTTTGCGTGATTAATTGCGATGTATGGGTTGTTAAATTATTGATGCATTATGTTGAATTTATATACTTAAGAATTTTAAAAAAAATGTTATAAAGGTCGATTACCTTTTACAATAAAATGTACCTTTAAGTTCAAAATCTAATATAAGACTCTATCTATAATACCGTTAACAAGTGCCAGTGTAATAAACATGTCATTATTGTATATAATATTCATATTGTTGAAGCTTTTAGATATGTAATAACAATGTATTATTATATATTCTAAATTATTCATACAACACATCTATATCTACAAAGTTTCATCACGCGTTTATTATCGTACATTTACGCACCTCATAAGAGGTACGAGTAGAATATGTACTGATTCCGATCTTTATGAACTGTATTTGGAATCACATTTACGTTGATGTCAATATACAGACTCGTTAACAGACGTAATGTACATTTCGTAGCAATATACGTAAATTTTACATAAAACGTAATTATAAAAGTACAAAGAAGTATGCAATAACAAAAGAATAATGTGTAACGAAAGATTTATTTCTAGGTATTTATATTCAATATTGAAAATAAATTAAGTTTATTTGCAATAAAAATTAATAAACACATAGAGTAAAATAAATTATTCTGATCATTGATTTTAGCTTGTTATAGATTTGTCGCTTCTGTTAGACCACAGTTTTAACAGAATGCGACAAATACATATAGTCACAGAATACACATAAAAGAAGCTCTTTTGACGTGCTGACAAATGTAGAAGGGTTACCATAAGAGAAAATATGGCCTATTTTTGGAATCATCAATATGGTGAAAAACTATAATTATATCTATAAACAGAGAAATTTAATAAGTCTCTTTTGTAGTATTACAAGATATATTCCACAATTCTGTACCGATTTTAATCGTCCTTTGTGCAATATATTTAAATGATCAATCTAAATGTATCTCTCTTATTTATAAATACATCAAATGTCTCATAATCTTCCTTTAATTTCGTCCTAATATACTTAATAATGTAGGTTTGTAGAAATTTTAATTTTTGTAAATAAGGAGGTATCTACGTATGTGTAAGTCCACGTCCAAAGTCAAGTTTAAATCTATATCTATAACTACATGTATTTATGTAAATAAATTAAATTAAAATACTAGTGTCAAACTCGCGCTAAGGCATTGCGCGAGCCAATGTAAACCTGTTTATGCCAATGGTGTGTACGTGACGAGCGGGTAGTACCCTACACAAGCATCGCTTGCTTGTAGTAGAGTTCCTGTCCCAGAATGTTACCTACCTTTCTTTTATACCACTGAGGTGGCAAATATACGGCCCACCTGATGGTAAGTGGTTATCGTAGCCTATGAACCCCTGCGTAATGCGCGTTATGCGCGTAATACCATGGGTATTACGCGCGCATTGCGGACATATAATACCGATAATATAATACCTAAATATAATCGATACTTGTCTGTATATGTTTAGTATATATAAAGAGTAGGAATTTATTGTAATAAATATATTAAATAGAATAAAACAACGACCAGTGTTCTTACAACGATATAATCTCCTTGTCAGTTATCAGAACGACAAGAGATTAATCGAAATATTTTGTGCAACATTTCAGAATATAGCTTTATGATTGGTTTTATTGGACGTCTAATATATATATATATATATATATAATTTTTATAAAATACTATCTTTTATCTGCGACTTCTGCGTGCTATGCTTCCTGATCTTGATACAAAAATAGCCTATATTTTTCTCCACTTTTCCAGTGCATTTATACCAAATTTCATAGTGATTGCTTAAGCCATTAAGACGCTATAAGGTAACAAACTTTTACATTTATAACATTAGTAAAAATGTGTATATATATAATCATAAGTATCTACATTATCATACAATTTATACAGCAATGGAATTGTCATGTCCGCAGGATAAAAATCCCTAAAAAAAACGAAATAAAAAATATTCCACAATTTGTGGAGGAGACAAAGTGTTTTTAATAAAGAATATGTTTGCATACTCTTATAATATGATGAATAAAGAGAATATTTTGAGAAAAATATTAAATATAGATATGGATGATAATGAGGATAATACCTAAAAAAAATGAGGTTACAAATAATTACAAATATAAATTGTATGTCATGATGATTCTTAAGTACTATTTCTAATGTGTAACTTTTTGTTATTCTGAATAAATAATTGTGTGATACTTGATATACTCGTAACAAGAAAGGAAATGAATGAAAGTGAAAAAAAAAAATTACTTGCTCCAAATGGATAAGAATGGAAGAATAATAATGCTGATAAAATTATATAATTCTAGCAAAACCCGGTAGACATTTTTCCTGTTTGTATTAATATTTCTATTAATATCATAAATAAGAGGATGAATGGAAAGATCGATGTTTGTCACTTTTTCATGCAATTTAGTATTAGAGTAGTTTATATCCTAACTTAGCACATAGAATATTTTATGTATATACTTATTCCCGTAGTTTAGTTTAGTTTGTAATACTGGAATATTTATATAAGTATGATGGAAGTTGAGGTTGTGGAGCACCGATTTGTAACAAATTGCAACAAAATAGCGTAAAACAACAGCAAACAACAGAATCATGAAAAATGATCAATATAATTAGGTATGTAAGTTGGTTTAAATAGTATAAAAACTTATGTCTGTTGCAGTCCAACTAATGAAAAGTTATAAGAATAATATCAAAAAACCTTTTTCAAGAAATAATACTTACCTATATGTGCCAACTTTTAAGATGATTAGTTAAATTATTTTAAAGTTTATTAATTCCAATTTTTTTTTTATACAACTTAGAATGGCAAACAAGCTGACGGCCCACCTGATAGAAAATGGTAACCGTCGCCTATAGACATGAGCAAATATGCCAGCATTAACTTTTCAACATTAATACACAAAAAACACGAGTTTTGCCCGACATCATGGCACAGCAGTGGGACGTTAATCAGTTTTAATAGATGCATCTATAGCATTTGAATAATCTAATATAGATATTTAGATCTTGCCTGACTGTTTTAGACAGGGCGACTTCCGAGATGCCCAAGCAAGTTATAAGTTTGTGCATTGTCGGAAATTTCATACCGACTGCTGATAAACTATTATGTACAATAGTCAACAAAAGTAATATAAACTATTAAACTTTTATAAATTTCTACTGGGTGGGGACCGTATCAGCTTACGTGTTTTTATCATTAAACAGCAAAATTAACATATAACGTATTAAGTTTTTCCAGAAAACTTAAGAGCTCTAATTTTCACTAAATTTGGTTTGTAGATACGAGTATATGCAATATTTGCGATAGAGGCTACTTTTTATCCTACTCCGCTTACAATATGAGTACAATCCATGGCCAAAAACTAGTATATAATAAAATGAGTAGTCAAGAACGTATGTTATGTAATGTTAGTTAATTACCGTAGGCCGAAATGTTAGTGTGCAAAGTTGTTTTTGCAGTGTTACCCAACATTTGTTTGAGTCCAAAAATAAACTTGACTAACTTAATTGTTTCATTATATTTCGTGCCTATGTGCTGACATTCTAGACGTTTCCAATGTCACCAACATTAAAACCAATATAAAATATATAAAACATAAGATACACAAATGATTTTTAATTCGTGTATTTTATTTTTATTTTATAAATTACAGTGCTTTTAAATCAACTCAATTATGTAATACTGTATGTATTTATTTGATAATTTGTATTTATTTACAGCAGCTAAAAGTTTGAGTTGTACTAATAAAATGTGAACAACTTATTCGACTTTTTGTAAACGAAAAATAATTTCTAATTTGTAGAAACGAATAGCAAAGTAAGGGAAGAAAGAAACTTAAAGAACGAATACTTACATAAAAATCTACATAATGAGTAGAAGTGGTGGTGGAAGTGAGTAAGAAAATTAAACGAGGTCACTATTTACAGCCTCGAATTTAATATAATTGTAATTTTAACTGGAGTATATTAATAGTATCTATACAGATCATAACATTATTGTATGCTTATTATAGGTTATATGTTTGTTTAGTTATATAGAAGAAATATTTAAATTATTAATTGCTGTTTATAGTAACCATTGTTTCGTAGGCACCTATATAATAATATTATGAAATAGCAGAAATCAGCTTCGTGTAAGCCCAATATATGAATATAGGACTCACCTAAAACTGTTTTTTGCTTACTTATGAATGCACACGTTTCTTTATTTCATTTCTGAGTACATATACAAAAAAAAAAAATGGTAAACAAGTTGCCAGTTCTTCTTGGAAAGAAATAACTATTGTCCATCGTTATAAACACTGATATAAATGAAATCCTAATAATATTACTACTACACATGTGATCGTAGCGCCCTCTAATGCCAAGAGCTTCTAAACTGCCTTAGTTGTCAACCAAGGTATTTAATGTGGTTTACCAAAAAACTATAAAGACGTCCTACCTTTTATAATGAATACCTACTATAAATATTATGATATAAAAAATGAATATTCAAATTCTTATACACAAAAACTGTCATAAATTAAATATATTTATTTATCGTAGATCAAACTATGAGTGGAACAGAATAGAATAGAAATATTTTTTATTGAATATAATTTAAGAATTTTTAATAGTCACAGGTGATTACTATAGGTTATAAACGTCAAAAGGTAATTAGAAATTGAAATTAATTGATTTTTTTATAATCATATTAATGAATATACTTTATATGTTACAGAGTTATCCATATTCTAAGATATGTATGAAAATCCATCACCATTGTTATGTAATATATCAACATGACAAGGCACTAGGTATGTATGTACTTTAATAGGTAGATACTAAACAAGAACTAACCTCTTTTTTGTGGACAGTCATATTCACATTACTTAAACATTTTTTCTATCTACTTTGAGACATTAAAGGTTAGGATTAAATACTCGTATGTATTATAATATTAAACGACAATGTCAGTGAAATTTTAAAACAGATTCGACCTACATAAAATTAGTTCACTATGCGTATTTCCTTTTCTTGGTTATTTACGATGTATACTGTAAACATTTTCTCTTTGAAATATTGAGATGTTTATATAAAAGTAATATTTCTAAAATATAGAAATTTATCAATTGCATCAAGAAAAAAAAAACAAATTCATTTAAGTGAAAGAGCTACAAATTACCTCACGAGAGGAAAGTGGTCAAAAGGGACATAACTTTTAAAAATAACGTAATATACGGACTTACCTTTCCGCGGGAACTCTATCGACAGTCAAAAGCTAATCAAATTGTAACAAAGTTTGGCGTTAACTTTTTTACGAGCTTATTTTTCTATTTTCTGGTGATTATTTTAAAGGAATGTTATTTGGGAAAGTTTCGCGCGGTCGTAGGAAGTTTGCTGGGTCCCTTGGGAGAGGCGGCGCGGTGCGGACGGCAGACTCGAGGGCGCGGCACACACTGAGCGCCGATTGCTCATTCAGAATCACTCCGGGCCGTTATTCTTACGCAGATGTCCGTATGATGGAGGCAGATATGAAAACCGACAGAATTAGGACTTAGTCACGTGACAATAATATTTTGGAGACTCGATAACAGATCTAGTATTCAACAACATGAAAACTTAGGGTTTAGATGGCTATGATATGTAGCAATAAATGCTAGGGTAACTGGACAGAATAGTCTGATATGAAAGTATAAATTATATCATAGTATCTAAAACTGAACAACTTTTTATAAGAGACGTGTGTAAATTTAGACATATAGTATTAATAAAATTAATGATAGGTACGTTATAACTATAAAATGTTACAATAAAATAATATTATAAATGTATAATAATAAGATATGAACTTTGTACACTTGTTTCGTGCTGTGCCTATATCTATTCTATGCCGTGTGGTCCCGGCATAGAATGAGCCACCCCGTGAATATCGTAAGAGGTGACTCAGGGAATTTAATGTTTAAGGGTTGGGCTGCAGCATCTTTCTTAAAATATTATCTAAACCTAACTACGGATACCAATTCGCCTGCCAGGCATGATAATTACTAGCAAAACCCCTTTATTGCGGGAGGCCTATTTTCAGCGTCAATGGATTGTTGACGGCTAATATAATGATAATAATGACACTAGTTTCATTCTAACCGGCTCGTTATGTCATTATAATCAGAAACGATTTCCGTATTCCCATAAATTCTTTAATACTATTGTGTACTGTTAGTTTATATTATTTTTGTTATGCTTTGCATAATCATCATCGTATTCAAAAATAGATTAGGTGACCCGTACCCATCCCAAAATCAGCTAGTGCTCACTTTAGAATCTGACCGGAGCATACAATAAACTAACTATATATGCGTCGTTTTTAAGTGCTGGCCACTTACCTTCCCCACCCAAGAAAATGATCTTTTATAATCAAATCATAAAAGCATTTCAGTTATAGTGTTCTCTAAAAGTAGGTCCTAGGTCTGCCTTATAAACTACTCTCAATTCGGCTACTACTCAAAATGACAAATATGATATCCAAAATCTATAATTAAATATGCCTATTTCTATTCCAAATTATTAATATAAATGTGTGTGTATGTTTTCAAAAATGTCTTTTTTAACAAAACAATTATTAACAATTATCAATAAACATGTATGTATTTTGAACATTTATTACTTGGACATTAATCATAAAAATAAAGAAAAATAAATAAATGCTTTTATTTTTATATTTATATAATTTCGATTACAAAGATTTTATTAAGTTAACAGATAGAAGATATTTTATCTACAAGTGGGTTAAAAAATGTAATCACACTGGGATTAAATAGTCATAATTTCTACTGCATATTTTATTTAATACAGAATCTTTAAATTCTTATCTTTGGTGGTATATTTTGATTTGTTATACAACTATACAAGTTGTACGGATAGCCATGAATTACTAGTATAAGATAACACAATATATTTCGACAATATATAAAATTACTAATATTTATCCGTGATTTAGCCCACGCGACCTGGACATATTGATTGACCGAGATAAAAACTATCAATGTTCTTCTTCATGCAACAATCTTTACTAATGTTGGAAATGTGAAACTGAGTTTTTTTATTTATTACGTCAGCGACTTAACGGTTTATCCAATTACTATGAAATTTGGTATATATGTACTATATAGGATGCAGAAAGAAGACGACTTTTACGCGGATGAAGTCGCGGGTAAAAGCTAGTATAACGGTATATATATACCAAATTTTGTGAGGATTGTTGGAGTCGTTAAAACAGTAATAGTTAAAAAACTAATACTCTCACATTTATAATATTATAGTAAGAATTTCAATAACCTACTTCTAAACCATGATAAACGCCAGCAAATCGCTGTATAATGAGGCATTGAAATCCAATTTGACCGAAACCGTCTTATGAAGTTAACTTAATGAAATGGAGATAGAATAATTAGCCACTTCCCGCTAATTTCCAAAGTTATTAATTGAAGCGTTAGAAAGGGCCGCCATCTGGTGTGCTAGGGCGGAACGGGCGGCCATCTCTATGTGTGTATGCGCTCTAAATGACGTCGTCTCATTGTGTCAGCACAAAAGATCATTAGCGAACAGAATAGAAATATGAATTTTCTACAATTAAATTATATTAAATTGTCATTTTGTATTGAAAACATGATAGGTGTAAAGGAAGGGAACGATTAAAGAAAAAGGATGGACTATGTAAAAGATGATATACGCATAACAGAGGAGGCTGAGTCCAGGTAGGACGGCTGATAGGGATTTGTTGAAGAGTACTGTGCCAACCTGTATTTACGTTATGTTTATCATTAGTGTTGTACACCCGACTAAATGGATCTGTATAATATGTCCAGTAATAATGATTTATTTTTCTACTACAAAGTTCGGAATAGTCAGGATGAGTTATGGATATACGTCCTACCTATCTGTTTCCATCGATAACGATGTCGTTGCTAAGCACCTTGTAGATTATAACATTTTATTCTGCTTATTATATGTATTTAATTTTTAATATAGCTTTTTCTTTTCCACTTTAATAGGAATATTTTAATAGAAAAGAATTAGTAGAACCTATATCGCTGTTTGTTTTTAATTATTTACAAGATATTTCAGATATTTGAATGGACACGATATTATGACCATGCCAAATAACGTAATAATAAAATGTTTCTTTATATGCATCATTTACAAGATCTTTCTAAAGCGTTGCGTTTATTTTAAGCATGCATAGTGCTGAACTAACTTGTCTAGTAATACGTCTTACCAATTTAATATTAAATTTATTAGTAAATATTAAATTAAAAAACTACCCTTCCGTTGTTCTCAAACCATAAAAGGTTACTCAACTTGGATAGTTGATGGATAAGGGTTCATCCTATCAAGTGGTTAAAATTTAAGTATTACTGGTTACTATGAAGATAAACACGATAGTAAAGCAGATTTAAATAAATTATAATTCATTGCATTCAACTAACATTTTACCATTTTAAATTAATATTTATCAGTTTATTATCATGAAAAATATTTTTAAAGGATATAATAAATATCGTATTAAAAAATTATAGTCTATTCTGTAAAGGTTAAAATTAAATATTGTATATTATTATAATATAAGATTTTCCAATAAAAAACTGTGCAGTTATAGTAGTATTTAGATGCAAGAGAAAAGGCTTTAATTGGCTTCAAACTTTTTTGGGTTTTTTTTAATGGGTGGGTATGGTAACCCCGTCTGCGCTGTTGGTATACACTGGCGGGGCACCAGTGATAGATGACAGATGAGAATGAAAGCAGGTCAGTTAGCCCATCCTGACGAATTTAACTAGAATTAGCCACGATGGTTTCCAGGAGGAACCACGTGGAGGTCGACCTGACAGGGTATATTGCTAGTAATGGAGATATTTGACCCCATTACTAACAATCCCTTTCCCCCCTATTTTTTTAGGTTGCTTGGATAATTATTATTTATTAGTTTTTATTTATTTATCTATTTAAAATTCAATGCACAATTATATAAGTAGGTGTACATATGGCGGATTTAACACCTAATGGCGTTTTCTATCAGTCAACTATGAGGCAAGCAGAAGATTAAGTAGGAGGTGCATTTAATATTATTATTTTTACCTGCGTCATTGTCCACATCCCCAAGATACGTTTATTGATCTAGATAAAAAGTAACTATTGTCCATCTTCATCCCAAATATAACGTGTTTACTAAATTTTTGTGCATTTAATGGAGATTATTTAAGTTTAGACACCAAGAAGTAAGAAAATCACTTTCACATTCACAATATTAGAAAAATATGCTAGCCAATTTAAGGGTACATCTAATAACTAAAAAGTAAATTCAATAAATTTTATTAAACTTCAAATGAATGGTAACATAGATATAATAAATTGAAAGAATTATGCTAGTAATAATGATAAAACAGGAAAAAAAATAGGAAATAGACTGACTTAAAAATTATTTCTTGTCTTGTTTGGGCAATGGTGGATTATTGTAACGCTCGTGGAAGTTAGTTGTGTAATTCCATGGTGACTCCAGTTTATAACTACGGAACTCTTGTGCAAATTCAACTGGCTCGTATACTATTTTTTTCAGTTCGTCATCATATCTGACCTCAGTATAGCCAATTAGAGGGAAATCTTTCCTAAGAGGGTGGCCGTCGAAGCCATAATCTGTAAGTATTCTTCGTAAATCGGGATGATGTGTAAATATAATACCAAACATATCGTATATTTCTCTTTCAAAATAATTACATACCTTCCACAGAGCAAATGCAGAATGTAAAGGAGTTAATTCATCGGTATAAGTCTTTACACGCGCCCGTTTTCCAAATCTCAGGCTGAGAAGACAATATACCACTTCAAATCTATACTCCCTGCTAGGCACATCTATTGCAGTAGCAGCCGAGCAAGCATTGAAGCACGCATGTTGGTGATGACATAAGAAACTCAACACTTGAAACACACCTTCGGGAGCGACCAGTATTTCCAACTGGTCGTTATGTTGCATTTGTACTTTCTGGACGTATTTAGGCATACACGCAGCGACATACATACCAAATTCATACAGCCTTTGTCGTTCACAATTGTCATGATTTCTAAGTGTGTGGCTCTTGTATTCAAGAGGTTCTAAACAAAATGGATTACCAACATCGATTTGATGTTGCTTGTTGAAAAATGAAGATTTATGAAAATGACGGTTGAAAATTTTCATAATACTTCTTCTTGCATACGATGATAAAATATTCATTTCTGAGCGAATTCAATGGACCCAAGTTTGAGAGATGAACGCAAGGTACAAATGTCACATTTATTTTATTTTATTTTGACGTAATATTGTCATGTCATATTTGTTTGTAAGATCCTTTTTGCTTATATAGCTAATGCGAGGTGACTTGGAAGGTGGCTTTTTTGGGATCATTCGCTTATATTTCCAAACTACCTGTTTTTCGTAGTTATATGAAAGAAAATCGTGAAAGAATGTTTATATAATAAAATGTCTAATAGTCCGACGAATAATCGAAAAAAAATCTAATGTGTCTTAATCAACTGTTAGTATATTATTTCATTAAAGTAATTTGACTCAATGATTGTATTTTTGATAACTCTATATATTAGGTAAGTAAATTATAACCATCAAAAGGACTTTTAAAAAAATATATTCTACATATCTACATATACAGTGGTATCAAACAGAAATCCTTGTTTCATATAAATGACAATAGAATAATGTCACTCAAGAGAGCTTTGCTAAATCTGAACACGGCACGATGATTTCACAGCCAGTCCCTACATTTTGATTAAAATTTTATTTTCGGGACTATTGTAAATAAAATGTACCATGACTGTGGTGTTTGGTTGCAATGAAAAACAATAATAATCCAAAATAAAGCCTTAAAGAATTCCTACATTAAAACATCACAATTTTCTTGCTATTTTTTTGATAAACATGAAAATTATTTTTAATGAAATATTTTGTGCTTATAGTAAATTCATAAGTTAAATTCATAATTCATAAATTCAATCACCAATATTAAAAATACGCAATAATGTTATTTTTATGAATGAATGATGAATGAACTTTAAACAGTTGACACACATTATCATTGTGAGTACTGTAAGCATTATATATTCTTAAAATTTTCTGTGAAACTGTGCAATTACAGAATCAAGGCTAATGAAGTTAATGATTATATAAAAGTATCTGTTACTCAAGTACGTTACAGAACGAACAAGGCTCTTCGGATGAAGTTTTCAAGCAGAAGTTTAGACATGTGTCTCGTAAGACTAGCGTTCTCTCGCGGGAGCGGTGCTCACACTTTATATAAATAGCTACTGAAGGAATAATACTAATTGTTACAATTTAATTGGCGTTTTAAAAATTATATACTTAAATGAGAATGGCTTTGAAATGTAATCAACATTTTCTGAAATTGAACAAGTTTAAAACAAGCATTTTTGGGGTTCCACATTTCAAAATAAAAAAAATTAACCTTCAGAATCACTTTGTTGTCCGTCTATCAAGATTTTTTTTTAGGAATGTGTGGAGGTATCAAGTTGAAATGAATATTAAATACTCGAGTCTACAATTACAGAAAGCTGTAAAAAATTAAATTTCCAAGTCAACGTAATAAAAAATGCGGCCGCTTATAGCGTATATTTGGGTATTTATATAAGGGAGTCAAAACCACAGAGTACTTTTTTATATACTAAAAATCAAAACCTTAGGCTAATTTCCGTTGACCTAGAATCATGAAATTGAAGCAATGTCATACAGCACAAGCTAAGGAAAACATCAGAAAACCCTAACCTCCTTATTCATAAAAACTAAAACCCTCTACAAACAAACTATTTATTTCAGAAATTAGCCAAAAGAAAGAGCCAAAACAGTTCTGTAGCTAAAAAGGTCTATTATTTATAGGTTATACATTTTTATAAATAAGGGGAAAAATGTGGTTCCCTCAATTTTTTTTTGTAAAGTTTTTTTATTCCCAAATACAATTTGTCAGAACCCTCTGCGCGAATTTGACTTGCACTTGGCTGGTTTTCTAATTACAAATTTGCCTTTTAATCAATCAAATCAATAAGTAAGAAAACAAAATGTCAGAAAACTCTTAAAATCTACCTAATCATCGTATACAAATATTTGTTTAGTAAAAGACTTTCTTAGAATCTCGAATGCCTTTTTATTGTTATTAGGGTCTGTCAACTTACTTATTTTTATATTATAAGTTTTTTCTAAAACAGAATGGCAACAATCAGTGGAATAAAATTACAGGGTTTTAAGACATAGTATCTTAGTCCTCAGGAATGGTAATGCATGATAATAGGTATTATAAACTTTTCTGTATTATTCATATTGTTGCATCGCAGGGAGTCAGTGGAAGCCTTTGGCTTAGGGTTGTTCCTTATAGCAGTTTCTGGGGAATGCCGATGTTCAGAAGTGGATAGATAATAGCTGAGATGATGATAATGATTCACGTTGTTCTTCATGTCGGTTACCACTTCCCACTATGTGCTCAATCAGCTTGATATCCAAAGGAATTGTGGAGTACAGACCACTTATGACTTTATATTATTATTTATATTATTATTTTCTATAAATCTCTAATTATATGATTATTATAGCCAAATTCTAAATTGACACACATCTCTATTGTTTCCTTTTGGCTTCCCTTCACGGCCCTAGTCTTTTATGTTCCTTTGATCAATATACATATATTTTCAATTTCCATTCCTGGTTTCCTTTGTCGCCCACATGAATTGCACATAGAATAAAATAATAGCTATATGTTTTCTTAATTATTATTTATGAGGTACAATGCTTACAATATAAAGGTACATATACAATTTACTATAGGTAGATACGCAACTAAGCAGTACAAATTAAGTGAGTGTACTATCTGAAAACATAGTCTACCTACTAATTTATCTTTTAGTTCCATACATAAAACAGAAAGCTCAGGCTGCACTTGATTCACTGTTTCCCGCCATCCAACTCCAGATTGTGAGCCGCAACACCACAACGTCCGGTTTCCGGGGGCGGGACAACGCATGCGCTGCATCCCGTGACGTCACACTATGTAACATCCGGTTCGCAATGCATTTTAAATAATGGTAGCGTAATGTCATCATAATTTCGTACGTTTTAGTTGGTTAAATGTTTTTATGTTATATATACACCATAAATTATATGGTATTTGTTGTTAATTATTAATGATTCTACTTTTCCGTTGGGTAAAGTACGAAGGTTAAATGATAACTTACTATTTGATGGTTATGATTTTTGAAATGATATAGTTATTACGTTTTGTATAATTCAACCATTAGTTGTTCATTATTCTTCTCCGATGATTGCCATAATGTCCTTAGTCACTACGAAGTACCTGATTCTATAACTCAAACCGTCAGAATGAAAAGTGAAGTAAGTAGATTTCTGTAGTTATATTGAAAATTTCCATACATAATAATAATAATATTCTTTATTATCAGGTACTTAACCCATAGAGATACAATTGTATTATAACGTACTCGGATAACATATAAAATACTATATAAAATATATAAATGTACATTTGTCCCAGTAAGATAATTATAACCATGTCAAATTCTGTTGATTGTACCACAAATTAATGACTTTTTATATTTAATAATTCATTATTATAATGGTTTATAAAGACATTTAGATGACAATTACGCTAAAACCGCTAAACAGATAACAATAAAATTTGATACACAGATATACTATACTCTAGAATATAGTCTGTATTATTTATTAAAATATAAATCATATATGTTACTCTAGATTTTAGAATTATATCGGATTTTCATTTTTATTTGTAGGAAATGTCACGGTAAGAATTAGTTATTAATAATTAAACTCTCGAGAGATACGTTTTAAACAAAGCAAGTTTTTATTAATGATTCAAATTGTAGCATAAATATAGATTTGAATTCAGACCGACTGCCCAGACCGGATACCGAGATCCCAAGTTTTCAGCTATGAAAACCCCTCAGTATCATTTTGAATATTTAACACAAACGTACCTACATTTAGCGGCGGAAGTGGATTATGCTAGATGAAAATGAAAATTAATTGCAGCACTGCTTTGTTTCGGTAAAAGATGGCTTTCAGAAATTGCTTGTAATTTGTACGTCTATAATTCTAATAATATTATAAATGTATAATAAGTAATGCCGTGTGGTCCCAGCTATGTAAGTCTCCCCTTCCTTTCCCGTGAGTGTCGTAAGTAGCGACTAAGAGAAAGCGAGGAATGGACAGCAGTGTTTTTCTTAAAACATCTCTGAAGCCTAACTGCAGTTGCCAATCCTCTTGCCAAGCAGCAAAATATTGGCAAAACCCTTGGAAGAGGCTTATATTCAGTACTGGACAGTTAAAGGTTGATATGGTGACAATAAGTAAATTCGTAATAAATATATATTATGGCGGTTTCGGAGAATTGTGTGAACAAATATTTCGACACAGGACTTTTATATATTGAACTTTATAGAGGATGAGAAACATGGATGTTGATGTTCCCCGTCGCCGAAGCGTAAGTCGGAAGTTTAAATTGACAAATAAATTATCGGCCAGATTTGGACTGATGTCGTTTAAGTCTATAAATCAAGGCAGATATCACTGGGCTTTTCTATACGGATTACAACTAGTTCGGTAAATTTTTGATTCTATCTGTAAAAAATAGAACACTATAATTTATATAACAAAAAATAAACAAATTTATGATTCCCTTCTTTGAAGTTGGCTAAAACAATAAATACTCTTATTCGATTTATTATTGTAGACAGCTTTACGAAATAAAGGAAAACGAATAGAAATTATTTTCCTTTATTATTAAGTAACCGTAAATATCTTATGAAATATAAATATATTTATTTAAGGTCTTCTATAGAACGTCTTATTTTTCGTATTCTTACAATATGGTTTTCTATATATAAAAGATAGTATTGTTAAAGGTAAATTAGGATACCTATTCTTTACTTAATATCCCTGTACATATATATTACTTACGTCATATTTATTAATTTAATCTTAATTGTACTGTCTTTACTTCTCTAAATATTATAAAAAAAAAGTCAAAGTCTTTATCCGCATCTGTCTGACTAATAAACACCCAAATATGTTCAGAAACTTTATATTCAATTCTACTATGATTTTATATTTACGTATTATCTTTTCTAACATTAATTAATTAAAATAATATAGTTAAACTATTATGTATCCCGTAACTATATAAACGTATCGAATAGTGATACCACTTATCATCATCATCATCAT